GGGACCACAGGCAGCTGCCACGCCTGTCCTGCTTTTTACATGGGTTCTGAGGACTGAAACTCCAGTCCTCGTATTTGTGCAGTTTATTCATTCACTGAGCCATCTCTCCAGATCAAAGTATTATTAATGCAAATCTGAGTTAAGGTTTTCTTTCTGTTTTTCCTTTGGCTGTACTGGAGAATGAACCTAGGACCTCATGCATGCAAGGCAAGCTACAGACCCAGACCCAAAATGCTGCCCTGAAGATAGTTTTACAAAATATTTTCTTCCAAGTCCTTAGTGAAGCTTTTTTTTTAGATTTATTTATTATGTATACAGTGTTCTGCCTGCATGCCAGAAGAGGGCACCAAATCTCATTAGAAACGGTTGTAAGCCACCACACAGTTGCTGGGAATTGAACTAAGGACTTTTGGAAGGGCCACCATCTCTCCAGCCCCTCTTAGTGCAGCTTTTAACTGAGTTCTTCATGCTTAAATTAGCAATATTCCAAACCTTTTGTTCCTGCCTGGGACCATCAGCCTGTACTGGATGCCTTGCCATATATAAACATGTCCTTCTGGCTCCTACCTGCCTTCTGACTGCCCAGTGTTCAGAAGTTGCTATGACTACACAAGACACACAGGGCCTTTCTCTCCAGAACTTGGGATAAACTCTAGCAGAGGCACAGCTGTCCAGATGGAAACTTCCCTACTGTACTGCACACTGGAGAGAGGGGAGCTCAGGAACAAGGACAAAGAACTACCTTAAACCAAGCCCCATGACACATGTGTTACTGCCCACCCAACCCCTAAATTCCTAATTTACTTATGTTGGCTCTTTAAAAAAAAAATAAAAATAAAAATAGATTAAATAAAAGGAAATTCAAACTGTAAATAAAACACAAGGATTCATTACACAATGGAAACAACTTACAGGGATATGTGGCAGTGTAATTGTGACTTCATCTCCTTTGCCAACCTGGAGCTCCCCTTCACAGGAAGTATCTATCGATGCTGGCTTAAAGTCATCTAAAAGAAAGAAAGAATTTTCCCAATGGATGACTAAAAATAAGGACTTCCTGGGCATTTTAATTTCAGTATTACACAAATAAAGATGGTTGAGGATTCTTCTTGTATGTGTGTCCCTGTATGTACACGGGTCCATGTGTACATATATCTGCAGCACTTTATTACTCTCTCAGATACTGTTAGGTTTTTTGCTTGCCTGCTTGTTTGTTTTTCAAGACAGGGTTTCTCTGAGTAGTCCTGGCTCCTGAAACTCACTTTGTAGATCAGGCTGGCCTTGAACACACAGAGATCTGCCTGCCTGTCTCCTGAGTGCTGGGATTAAAGGGGTGCGCCACCACTACCTAGCTTGTCTTGTTTATTCAAACAGGGTCTCCCATTGACCTGGAGCTCACTGGGGGCCAGTGAGTCCCCAGTGATCCTCCTGTCTCAATATCCCTAGCACTGTGATTATAACTGTTTACTACCACACTGTGGCAATTTTATGTGGGTTCTAGAAATCCAAATCATATACTCATGCTTTCATGGCAAGTATTTCACAAACTGAGCTAACTCCCCAGGCCCATCATTTAAAATTCAAAGAAAAAAAAACAAAAAACAAAAAAAACTTCATCATACAAAACTTCATATATGCCGGGCATTGGTGGTGCAAGCCTTTAATCCCAGCACTTGGGAGGCGGAGGCAGGCGGATCTCTGTGAGTTCGAGGCCAGCCTGGTCTCCAGAGCAAGTGCCAGGGTAGGCTCCAAAGCTACACAGAGAAACCCTATCTCGAAAAACCAAAACCAAAAAAACCAAAAAACAAAAAAAAACTTCATATATGCTAAAGTAGAGAGAATAAGTACAATGAGCCCCAAAAACCCTCATCCAATTCAGTAATCACCAACTCAGGAAGGCCACTAATTATGTTGCCTTCAACTATACTATATTTTGGCACAAGGAGCTGGAACTCTTACACCCTTTTATTAATGAATGATATTTCCTTATTCTATGTGACAGATAACAGTTAACATCTACCATCCATAATAAGGTAATTATTAGAACTGTGTGCATAGAAGCAACAGAGCAAACATCCTGACTATAAATCTACATGAGACACAGGAGGCTACGTGAGGTTGAACAGAAAGGTTCAAAGGTAGAATCTACCACACTTAAGTTCTTTCATTTTGAAAAAGACACTTCAAGATCTGTTCAAAGCAGACGGGCAAACTCCAAAAGTTACCCTGCTTATCCTTACAAATTATACAATCAAAAGAGCCGTTTTACCTCATATTAACACACTCCTGCCTCAAACTGCAGGCCAGGTGCACATGTGCAGACTCTCACTTAAAACCCACACTGCTCTTCAGTGTAGGGGAAAAATGATAGTCTTATCATTTCCCCAATATTGTCTCATTGAAACATCTGGAGCTGCTGTCAGTGGGAAGCACAGAAATGACAAGTGGCCACACAGAGATGGGACTTTCATATCTAACACACCTCCTTCCTATGTGTTGAGTCACATCTATTACTCCCATGACAAAGCATGTCTTAGCTGGTGTTAATGCTACCGGAAACCAGAAGCCTGTGAATCACAGAGGGATGTGCTCCGTCAGCCAAATCTTTACTCAGGGCACACAGTGGAAGTACCCCACTCAGAGTCTATAATCATGTAGAAAAAGGCCCAACATAATGACTATTCCCACATTCCTTAAGCTGCTGTCTTCGTTTTCCAAACATAGATCAAGCTTTAACTTATGCCAGGTTCACAAACTAATTTTTTTCTTCACCCACAAGTGAGTTGGCCCACAAGTCAAGGTGGTGAAAGAGACCAAAAGACATTAATGTCAGCTAGGTATGGTGGATCAGGCCCATAATTTGAGCACTACAGAGACTGGGGCAGGCCTGCAGCATGTTCAGGGTGGACTTGAGCTATATGAGTACTAGGCCAGCATAGCCTGCAGGAAGACACTGTCTCAAAACAACAACAACAACAAAATCAGTGTCAAAAGAAGCACAGAAAGAGGAAGAGAAAACCTTAATGATGGTACAAAGAATGCAGATTCCCTAGCTGTGGGGGGACCAAGAGCCCTAAGGGGAAAGGAAAGCTAAGAAGAGAATGGAGGAGACATTGTAAATGACGCTCGTGGCAAACGAGAAGTCTTTTCCAGGGTGTGAACCCTGATGGAATAGAATAATTCGACAAAGGGGACACGAGGGAGAAGAAAGGGGCCTCGCTCCAAAGGGGTAAAGTTTGGAAAGGGGGCTTAATTAAGGGCTGGAAAGGGGGATTTTAATTAAAGGGCCCATGACCTTCTGAACTGCAAGGAAAAAGAATAGTTAGGTGGCAGCAACCAGAGGTTTGGTTTGAGAGGAGCGATATGAAAATAAAAGAACAGATCGAAGTCCCAGGGGATCTCGGGTGAGAGATAAGGAAAGTGACACTTCGAAGAGCCGAGGTTGGACAGGAGGGACTCGGGAATGGCACGTGGCGGCCATGGAGGCCGAAGTGATCCCCGAGGAGCGCTCACTCACAGCGAATAGTGTGGAAGGAGGCCCGTGGCCGTTTCTCGAAGCTCTCCCCCAGACGCAGGCAATGCTCCTCGCGATCCAGCAGCGGGTTCGCCGTGCCGTTCATGGCCTTGCACCTTCCTGGCACCCGGATCGGCGTTCTCCTCGCGCGGCCGCAGTCCCGGCCCCCCGCGCAAGCGGCCCGGAGGACCGCGTTCCCGGGACACCGCTCGGGAGCGCGCACTGAGCCAAGTCCGCGCCCACCCGGGGCCGGAAACCAGTCTCCACCGCGTCTAGAAAGACTCTGAGGAAGGAAGGCCGCTGCGCTTCCGGCATTGGGGAGGGACTTCCGGTTCCCCAACGGAAATAGCGGGGGAAGTGCCATGGAGAGAGAGTTCCCCAAGAGAACTGAAATGGATAGTCCCGGGCAGTAAGTATCTGGTTTAGTCTTTACGCTTCATTTGGAACATTGTACCCCCGAGGGCCTGACAGACAGGTGAGTGCGCCCTGAGCTATCCGTTGCTGGTAACGCTGTCAGCTGATAGCCGGGAGCCCCGAGCGTGGGGACTGAGTGAATGCGAGTCTGAGCGTTGATATCCACGGCCCTAGACATGCCCGAGACCCTAGCGGTCCAGTTTATCCTGCGGGTCTGAGAGAGATGATGATGGATCTCGGGAACTCAGCGACCCGTCACTCGGTCTCCCTGCTTCGCTCCATGGTTGCGGTGTGAGGGTTTCAGCTCTTGGCCGGCGTCTCCTCCTTCGGTTGGTGCTGTAGCCTTTTGTGGGTGCGATCAGAAACTCCGGCCTCTCGGGGTTAGCTCCATCGCCTCCAAAACCATGAAGCTACGGTCCCAGCGAATGTGGTCCCTCTTTTGTCTGTCAATCGTCTATCTGCTTTCAGTTCAGGCTGCTGTTGTTGTTTTGAAGTCTCATTTTCCACGGGCATTGATTGAACGTTGATGAGAATTTTCTCCTCACATTTTCTCAATCGATTCGTGGAAGCGTGCCTTTGCCCCAGCACCGTCTATTTCCTGTAATACTTGACTCATGTGGTTTGAATTGGAGTCCGCTACTTGAATGAGAGTTCTGGTCTCTGAATGCAGTAAGCTTTGTGCAGTAGACTGACTTGGTCTTTGTGACCTCTCCCGCCACCCGCAGGGTGTTGGGTAGAGTCAGCATCTGGTGAGTGTTTGGTGAATTGAGCCCAGCGCCCTAAAGAGCTCGTCAGGAACCTCTTCCCCCAGAGTCCTGGACCATTTTAGAACCCAAACTCTAGAAGTTCTAAAGGAAGCTCTAGCTCGGGGAGTCGGTATAGCCACAGTCACAGCACTTGGAAGGCTGAGGCAGGAGGATATACGTTCAAGGGACAGCCTGGGTTTCTTCCAGAGGAAATTCAAAGCTAACTTTACATAACTAGACCCTGGCTAACAGAAAAACAGGATGGGGAGGGGAGTGGGCAGGCTATTACAGAATCACTAACTAGAATTTCTTTTTTTCCTGAGTAGCATCGTCCGCTGCTGAAGCTGGAAAGTCACCTGGGGAAAATGCACCAGAAAAAATCCTGTGTCTGCAGGATCAGCACCAATTGTTCAGATGGTCAAAGACCAGAGAATCTTTAGCAGAGTTGAAGCAACTGCAATGGCTTCTTTCCAAAGGAAAGGACTGCAAGCGAGGATGCTAAGCTCTGAAGAAGAAGAGAAACTGCAAAGAGACCAAGCTTTGGTGTCTGATTTTAAACAGCAAAAACTGGAAAAGGAGGCTCAGAAGAACTGGGACCTTTTTTACAAAAGAAACAGTACCAATTTTTTCAAGGACAGACACTGGACCACCAGAGAGTTTGAGGAGCTAAGATCATGTAGGGAGGTAGGCTGGGGTTTCTCCAGCCCCTGAGCTATCTTCACTTGCACTGAGTAGAAGAGAGATCTTTTAATTGCATGTAGTGTGTGCTCCCAGCTATGTACCTTGGGTGTCATTCATTAGCTTGGGCTAGATGGCAGTAAGCCCCAGAGAGCCTTCCCAGCACTGGAATTCCAAGCATGCTTCACCATGCCCAGCTTTTTCCGTGAGTGCCCAGGGTTGAACTTAGGTCCTTGTAGTTGTGTGACAAGCACTTTACTGACTGCACTATCCTAAAGAAAATTTATGAAGCCTATCAAAATGTACCTAATGTTTGGTTTTGAGTAATTTTGGCAATTTCTGGGGCTGTTTAATAGGAAAGAGCTTTTAAGGTTTCCCTTTTAGATTTATTTATTTTATTATCTTACATGTGTGTGTTGCCTGCATTTATGTCTGTGTACCATATGCATGTCTGGTGCCAGTGAAGGTCAGAAAAGGGCATCAGATCCACTGGGACTGGAATCGCAGACAACTCTAACTTGCCATATGGAAGCAGACAATGGAACCTGCGTCCTCTGGAAAAGAGCAGCACATGCTCTTAACCACAGAGCAGTGGCTACAGCCCCTTAATGTTGTTTTCTACTTATTTAAAACCAATCTGAAAGTTCGAAATATTAAATATTCTGAGTAAACTTTAGTGACAGATTGAAGCTGTGTATAATAGTTAATGGTATTAGTTAATGAACCATTCACTGTAACCCTTTTCTAAGAATTTTACATATTTAAGCTTCATAGCAACTCTATGAAGTCCACTAGCATTCTCATTTGAAGGAAAAACTCAAGGCACAGAGTGCAGAAATGAGTTACCCAAGGGTAGAATACAGGGGCAAAAGAGCAGCTGGGATTTGAGGAGAAAGTTAGCCCCATAGTATCTGCACTGTACTAATGGCTGGGTTTTTGGTTGTTTTTTATTTTGTTTTGTTTTGTTTTGAGACAGGGTTTCTCTGTACCTTTGGAGCCTGTCCTGGCTATAGGTCTATAGACCAGGCTTGAACTCCTGTCTCTGCCTCCCAAGTGCTGGAACTAAAGGCATGCCCTACCACTGCCCAGCGTTGTTGTTGTTCTTAATACTAAACTGCCCAGTGTTGGGTAATTATAAATGAGGTACCAGTATTTTTCCCTTACTAGTTATGTTGTTTAATAGCTTCATGAGGTTAGAAAAGTCTCTTTTTTTTGCTAAACCTTTTAGCTTGGTGTATTTCTTCGTTATGCAAATGTAATGTGCTGTAACTTTTGTGTTCATTCCTCAGTATGAAGATCAAAAATTGACTTTGTTGGAAGCTGGATGTGGGGTTGGGAACTGTTTGTTCCCACTTTTAGAAGAAGATTTGAATATCTTTGCCTATGCCTGTGATTTTTCTCCAAGGGCAGTTGACTATGTTAAGGTAGGTACACCATATTCTGCTCTTTGTGATTTTTTAGACCATTTGTCTAATTCCAGTCCTCTTCTAGTAGCTTACCAGCTATGATTACCAAAAATGTCGTTTTCTTTTTAATGTTCATGTAAAAACATTTTGATGCAAAGCAAAGAAAGAAAATACTAAATAGTGCCTCTGTGCTTCATTCATATCATCTGCTTTATAGATTTGCTTCTGTTAATTTGCATTAGTGAGTCAGGTTAATGTGACCAGTGTTGTGCATATGCTTCTCAAAACTCATATGCACAGTCCTCTGTGATGAATAATGGAGGAAATAAAAATCCCTTAGAAGAATGTGAATATTTAAATTTTAATAGATAGTGCCACTTTTCCCTTTAAAAAATTATGCCAACATATGTATATATATTTGGGGAGGTGGTTTTGAGACTCTCTGTGTAGCTCTGGCTGTCCTGGAACTACCTCTGTAGACCAGGATGGCTTTGAACTGGAGATCCTCCTGCCTCTGATGGGATTAAATGCATGTACCACCACTGCCTGGCTTCCAGTTTATAGTTTTACCAGTAATATAAAGGTACTCTTTCCTCTATTTCCTCAATATTTTTGTTTTTGCCAATCTTCCAGAAAAAATAATGTCTGTTGAAACTGCACATATTGGGTCAGTAGATACTGAAGTGAATAGGGATTTGTAATCAGGAGTTGGGCTGTATTGATACTGTTGGTACAATTTCTGTTATATTTTGTTGTCGCTCTGAGTACCGGACACTTAAAATACCCTTGGTGACTTTTGTCTTGCTGGCTCTGGTTCTCTTTGTGCCTTGCCTGTTTCTAGCTGCTGTAATTTCATTTTCTGGAGACTTTTGGGTGGGGTGAATAGTGCATATCCTTCTTGCCCTGCCCCTCTGGTTTTGAACTGTGCAATAGCTTTGTATCTCAGAGTGTGGCTTTTCTAAGTTTTTCTTTTCTATTTTTTAAAAGATAGATTTATTTACTTTATGTGTATGGGTATTTTCCCTGCATGTATGTATGTGCACCATGCTCAAACCCATGGAGGTCAGAAGACAGTTGTGAGCTGCCATGAGGGTGCTGGGAATCATTGCTAGGTCCTCTGGAAAAATAGCCAGTGCTCTTAATTTCTGAGCCATCCCTCCAGTCCCATGAAAATTTCTATTTCTTTTCTTGCCCACCCTCTCCCAACTGTGGGAGTATCTGTAATCTTGGGTTTAGGAAGAGAAGGTCCTCACCACCTTCTTCCCGGAGTTACAGTGGTACTTTACTGGTGGTCATAGGCTCCAACTTTAGGTTGCTTTTCTCCTGCAGAGACATCTTTTCTTGCTAAAAGGATGTGAGGAAAAGCCAGCACTAGAAAGAGCAGCATCTTCTTTGTGAGAGCCTGGCAGTATCTCTGGTGGAAACACATTCATCCGAAACAGCCCCTATGGCATCATCTTTTAGTGACCACTGTCAGTCCCAAACCAGTTGCTAATTTTTCAACATTGTCTTTCCAGACTGCAATCTCTGCCTCAGGTAAGCAAACACCTGGGGCTTGGATCTCCCCGAAGACACTTGTTTCTCTCTAGATTTTAGGGTCATGGGTTCTGTGATTTTTCTTATTTGATGGTTTCACAGACACATACATGCCATGCCACTATCCTAGTGGCTTTTTTTTTTTTTCCTAGTATGGGAACCATGTCTTTCCATTTGAGTTCATCTCTAAGCTAAAACTAGAAATCTTTAATGTATCTGGCAGCTGGTTTTCCCGAACACAACACATTGGAGTATTCATTATCATTATTATTGACCTATTCATCTGACTGTCATCTTCATCTTGACATAAAATACTAAATTCTCACATATATACGTGGGTCTATTTGAAAATCTTCTGTCTTGGTGAACTGTTTGTCATCATTCTCAAACCACATTATTTTATTACTATATTTTGTAGTATATTTTGATGTCTGTATTTCCTTCTATTGCTAAAATTTCTTTATAGGGAAGTCATAAGTGAGGGCTGCCCGTTGAAGCACAGTCAGACAAAGTTCACTCTGGAAACCAATGAGTTTATTAGGCTTTCTTACAGAGCATATGTGGGGGATTGCTTACAGTGCTATGAGTGCTCCACACCCAACAGACTACACTTGTAAAGCTTTTACCAAGCAGGGATGAGGGCTTTCCTGTATCCTTCTAATGGAGCATCCCCTCCGTTACCCCATGCCCCTGAAGTAGGGAGCAGCTGAATATTCCAGTGAAGGTCTGGTGACCCTCCCCACCCTTCCAAGAGGTGTACATAGTCAACAAGCCTGGCTGCGATAATCCTTTTGCAAGGGTGCACAGCTAAATTCCCCAACATAGTAGTTGCTTGGCTTGAAGAACAGTCACTCTCAACATCTAGTTTATTCGTTTTAAAAACTTACTTTTATGCTGGGCAGTGGTCTTTAATCCCAGCACCAGGAGACAGAGGCAGGTGGATCTCTAGAGGTCAACCAGGGCTACACAGAGAAAAATATTGACTCTTGCAGAGCTGGAGAGACAATTCACTAGTTAAAAGTGCTTACTGCTCTACAGAGGACCTGGGTTTGATTCCCAGCACCTCCATCTGGTGGCTAACAACTGCCTGTAACTCCAGCACCAATGGATTCAATGCCCTCTGGCCTCTGAGGGCACCTGTACTTACATGTACATAGGTAAACATAAAAAAAATAAATGAATCTTTTTTAATACTAAACATTCCCACCCAGTAACCTTGCAAATTAATTTATTCGGGTCCCTGTTTACAGGATTAAAAAACTTACTCTCTTCCTTGATGATACATGTGCTGGAACCTACTCACCAACCAAAATATGTACCAGGAATATACTTGCTAGAAAGAAAGGTAGGGTCTACGGCCACACCACCCTGAATGAGCCTGATCCTGGAAGCTAATCAGGGTTGGCCCTGGTTAGTACTTGGATGGGAGAAAGAAAGGTAGGTTAGGATCTTTAGTCTTTTATCTTTAGGAAATGTGCCACATAAGAACTATGGAGGCAGGGTGAACTGTATCAGTAGGGTGAACTGGAAGAACTTCTCATAGAGTGTAAGCTTGTCAGGGATAACCAACGGAGGGTTAGGAAGCAGCTGCCAACTTTGTATTATATTATCCTTTTGGAAAAACAGGCCTCTGAAATACTTGGTTTTTTTTTTTTTTTTTTTTTTTTTT